GATTGAAAGCTCGACCAAGGAGGAACCGCGCTCGCTTCTGATTCCGGCTCGCCTCTCTGACCGGAAGGCCTGGCCAAGGAGGAACCACGCGCTCGCTTCGACTCCGGCCGCCCTCTCGACTGGAAGGTCAGTCACTCACCTCCAACTCGGCGCGGCCGCTTCCGACCCAGGCCCCCCTCTTCGACTAGAAGGCCTGGCCAGCTCGCCTCCGACTCCGGCGCTCCTCCGGCCTGCCTCTCCGACTAGAAGGCCTTGCTAGCTCACCTCCGACTTCGGTGCTCGCTTCCGACCCCGGCCCCCCTCTCCGACTAGAAGGCCTGGCCAGCTCGCCTTCGACTCCGACGCTCGCCTCTGACTCCGGCCCGACTCTCCGACCAGGAAGGCATGGCCGAGAGGGAACGACGCTCGCCTCCGACTCGACTCGCTTCTCCGACCGAGAGTATACCGAACCTCTGCTTACAGCTCTTCTCCGACCGGAAGGTCAGAGCCGGCTGGGGAATGACCGACCGGGGACGCCCGCTCGGTGAAGACCCAGGAAACAGACAGAGCAAGTAAGGCAGGGTGCTCCAGTCAACCGCAATATCAAGGGCCGCACACCACACACACGTGATAACAAGATCTTGTCGAGGCCATGTCAGAAGGAGGCACCGCAACCTTCCAGGCATGTCAGAACATGAATAATGTTGTGGGCGTCGGTATTTATCCTACAGTATGGTAGGCGCCGACATCTGCCATACCAGAAGAAAACGATGGAACCTACCACATGCATCTGAACATCAACAATGTTATGGGCGCCGATAACCCGCCTCGTACCGGACAACGTGGGCAACAAGACTAGATAGCACACACATACTCTCTCTTGTAAAGCCATCCCCTTTATCTATAAAAGGGGAAGGCTTCTCTCCCAAAAAAGGGGATGGACAATTCAACCACCAGATGATCGATTCACGAACGATTCGAACAACCTACGATTCGAACGATTTCAACAGACCACACGCTCAAACACTTAGCGCACGTAGGAGCTCCCGTCTCTCTCTCGGCCCTTCGGTCCAGAGTCCGATTGGACCTCTTGCACCTCCATCTTACTCCATTTCGTTTGTAACCCCACAACAAACTTCGAGCACCTAGGCTTAGGAAATAAAGTCATCGACCGACTCAAACTGGACGTAGGGCACGTTGTCTGAACCAGTATAAATCCTGTGTCATTGAGTGCTAGGCCACATCCGATCACAACGTACGGTAAAACTACAAATATTTACGTGTTGATCACTTTCTTCACCGACAAATATACTATTCTAATGGGAAATTTTGCTACCGGACATGCCAAGTGACCCCTCTTTGCTAGTGGGCATGCAAAATTTGACGATTTGCTGGTGGACACTCTGGTTCCTTACAAATTTGCTGGTGGACACCGGACCGAATAAAATATTCATTTTCGGGCTTTCGATGAGAGAGAAGCACGGGAAATGTCCTTTTTCGCCTTGGTGCTTTCTTCTACCTTGGTCTCCTTCCTCCGCCGCGACGAGGCCACCTTCAATGAGCCGCCGCCAATGCTGTGGTCACGGACCACCCACCTCAGCCGGCGGCATTCGTGGGCCTCGCGCCGCATCGCGGCACAGCGACCGTGCATACCGATCCGTCGTGGCCTCGCGCACGCGCAGCAGTAGCAGCTCCGCTCGCGTCTCGCGCAAGACGAACGCGGCGGCAGCTCGCGCGTGGCCTCACAGGCGGCACGCAGCAAAGCGGCGAGATTCCGCCGCGGCCTCACCACAAGACGGGCGAAAGCGGCCGGTCCGCATGGCCTCATGGGCGCAGCGTGGCGAAGCTGCGGCTCCGCCATGGCCTCGCCGCACGCCGAAAGCAAGCGATCATCGGAAGAAGCACCGGCAAAGGCAACATGTCCTAGCACGGCGGCCTCGGCGACACGCGGCCCGGCGGTGGCGCGAAGCTCCGCGGCGGTGGCGGCGGCGGCGGCTGGTCGGGGCTGCTTGACCGCTGGACTGGACTCGCGCCGCACTGCGTGCTCGGTGACGGCGAGATGGCGGCGACCTCGACGCCTTCAACCGCGAAGCGGCGCCCGCACGCAAGACGCTGGGTCGCCGCCGCTGTGGCGCTTCTTCGACCGGTGCGCATTGCTTTGGCGACGCCGCCGCAGACCGGGTGACCAGTTCTGTCTGACGCCACGTCGTCGGTGGCGTCGAGGCGTTCATCCTCGGTCCGTGTCTGGTCGCTACCGGTGCAGGAGTCCAACTGGATCGGCTACGTCGCGGTGGCCACCGACGAAGGAAGGCCGCGGTTGAGCCGCCGCGACGTCGTCGTCGTGTGGTGGCGCGCACCATCATGCAGAGCCGAGTGGGCCGACGACCTCGAAGTTCCCCATGGTACCGACCAGAGGCCTCCTCGGGGGGCAGCCAAGCTCGCGACGCCGAAAGCGGCCGCTCCGCCATGGCCTCGCCGGGGCTTGCGGCGCAAAGAAGCTGCTGCAGCTGGCTCTCATGGCATGAGCGGCAAAGCGAGCGAGCCGCTCCGCCACGGCCTTTCGCCGTGGCGGCGAGCAGAGCAAGCTCTGCAGCGGCCTCGTGGAAGCGCTATGAACGGCCGCTCCGCCCGCGGCCTCGCCCGCAGCCTTATGGCGGCCGGTCCGCCGCGGCCTCGTGAGCGCAGCGCTCAGCTGCCGGTTCCGCCATGGCTCTCGCCCGGTAGCACATGAGCAAGAGCTCAGCCATGGCCGCGCTGGCATGTGTGCGCCACCGCGGACGGGAAGCCTCCTCCGGTCGGGAACAGTGGCGGCCGCGGCTCGCTGAGGTGGCCCTGTGTCGCGGCCAGAGGAAGGAGACCAAGGTAGAAGAAACAGCCAGGGGCAGAAAGGACATTTCCCGTGCTTCTCTCTCCTCGAAAGCCCGGAAATGAATATTTTATTCGGTCCGGTGTCTACCAGCAAATTTGTAAGGAACCAGAGTGTCCACCAGCAAATCGTCAAATTTTGCATGCCCGCTAGCAAAGAGGGGTCACTTGGCATGTCCGGTAGCAAAATTTCCCTATTCTAATTGTCACACAAAACATGCGCTAATCAACATGTGGATATTCTCATCCGCCAGATTTTGGTGGCCAGGATATCCAGCATCTATCCAGAATATTCCCTGTTGTGGATATCCAAGTTCAACTTGTCCATCCAACCAAAGACCCTGTATCCGTGTATATTCATGTCCCATCCATGCATATTCATGGAAACAAACACACCCTTTGTTTTTGAGCATTTACAGAAATCTGGTCTGAAGAAACGCGTCTGTTTTCCATTACACACGAATGTTGTATCTTTCCTATATTTATATCTGAACAACCACTAGAATAATTTGATCTATTGGTGGTAAAAGAGTTTTGTGAATAAGTTTTACTTAGCAAATGTATCCATTCGTTTACAATTTTGTTACAGTGCTTATACAGGCTGCCAATAATAATGAGCTAACTATTTTTCTTGGATTTAAATAGGCTTAATCCAACCTTAAATCAAAATACAATTCAAGACCCGTATAAAAGTCAGTACAATCAAGGATTAATCACGTATAGAAAATTGATCGGAGATTGGTTCAACTTAAATAGATGGATATTGTGTTTATCTGTTGTTCGCTTACTTATTAGTTATGGTACATTGTTTTTCTCTCACAACAAACCAGCTAACAGTACTTTTCAGCCTGACTTTTCAGCGAAACTAAGGGCGCTTTTTGCAGCTTCAACTCAAATCAGAACAGGTGAGAGCAAGGAATGCTAGATAGAAGCAGCTTCAACTCAAATCAGAACAAGTGAGAGCAAGGAATGCTAGATTGAAGGAAGATGGGTGGGTGAGTGATACTTAGAATAACAAGCAAATTTTTACAATCTAGGCCTGGTTTAGATTGCAAATTTTTGCAATCTGAAACATCAGAAGTACGCGTTTCGTTTCTATTTGACAAACTTTGTCCGATCATGGACTAACTAGGCTCAAAAGATTCGTCTCGTGATTTACAACCAAACTATGTAATTAGTTATTTTTTTACCTACATTTAATGCTCCATGACACGTCCAAAATTAATGTGATGGAGAGAATGAAAAACTTGAAATTTTGAGGCAATCTAAACAAGGCCCTAACCGTGAAGGAGAGAACAAATAAAATGGGACTTGTGGCCTTGAGACGCAACCTACAAGGATGACTGTACTCAAACCTTTTTTTTTTTTCCTTTTGCTAATATACAAAGATGTACCGCTATTTTTTTTTTGTTTTTGCTGATAAAACAAAGATGTACCACCTTCCCTGTATATATGTGAGAAAACTTAGTGAAGGTCAAGCTCGAGCGCGCGGCTGTTGAGTCCGTGACTTAAAATTCCATCTGTGGTGGTGGAAGTGGAAGTATGAGCTGGAACAAAACTTGACTGCAAATTTATTACCGATTCGAGAATTACAGTGTATCCTGTATATAAACCAGCCCTGAGTGACGAGGAGTCATCGATTCTGCTCTAGATTAGCACAGCATGACACAATGATTAGCTCCGACGAGAGCAGTAGTGTATCTTCCTCCTCCCTAACCCCTGAACCAACTAACCTTGCACGGAGTCATGTGCTAATTCTGCACCGAGCTGCGTCCATGCAGTTCTGCTAGCTGTTCTTCAAGTTGTGGTTGTTTAGCAGGTCACCGGTGGTGTCGTGAGCCAAGCCAAAGCCAGGGTACCAGACCGCGTCCTTCCGGCGCGGCGCCGCGTGGTGCCGTGGTGGCGCGCGCAAAGCCGGCCGCAACCCCTGGTCGTCCCCGATCCATCGCCCGCTGAACTAATGCGGCGTGCGGAGCAGTGGCGCGAACCGCCGCCGCGCAGCAAAACAAATCGGCGTGTCCCGTCCCGCGAGTGGCCGTCGCGGGGTTGCTCGCCGCGTGCTGCCATGCTCGTGCGTGGGGTTATAAGCCGGCCGATCGATCTAGCGCTCCGGATCGACGTGGATTTATTAATTTCCAGCACTGGACGACGAGCAATCATTCCATGTCACGTCTATCGCACGTCTGGAAGAAGGCGGTGACGAGGGAGCCGCCGGCGGCGCAGGAGACGACAACGACGACGGTCCAGTCAAGCACTGCAGTCAAGAAGCCGCCGCGGGAGCTGAGGCGCCTCCCACCAATCAGCGGCGGCGGCGGTGGCGCCAGAGCGGACAGCAGGAGGAGGAATAACGGCGCCAGCGCCACGGCGGGCACGGAGCTCGCGGAGCGCGCGGCGAAGGCGTGGATGCGGCATGCGCTGGCGAAGCGCGTCGCCACGCGCTTGCTGAAGCGGAGCACGGCGACGCCGGCACCGCCGCCGGCGGCAGTGGCGGACGAGGGGAGCAGCCCGAAGAAGGTCATCGCGTGCTGCTGCGTGAGGCTCCCGCCGGACCTGCGCTGCGCGCTGCACCAGGACGGCGCGCCGGGCCGGTCCTGGACGCGGCGACGGGGAGTGCGGAGAGGCCGTGGCGCCGCCCAAGGTGCACGGGTGGGCGTTCAGCGAGTACGCACGGTGGCGCCGGCACGTGTGGCGGAAACCATCCGGTCCGAACGGCCGGACCAGAGGCACGGTCCGAACGGTGCGCGGGAACCTTAGGCCACGCGCGGGAGGCAATTCAGGTACGTATTCTTTTTCTTATTTATTTTTTTCTTTCCTTTCTTTTTTCTTTTTATTGTTTTATTTTTCTTCCTTCTATTTATTCATCTTTTTTATTTTATTTTTAGTTTTCTATGTTTTTCATTCTTATTTTATTTCCTTTCCTTTTCTTATTCTTTTCTTATTTATTTTTACCTTTTATTTTTGATTTCTTTTTTATTGTTTTCCTTGCTTCTATTTATTCTCCTTTTTCCATTTGTTTTTAAGTTTTGTATGTTTTCATTCTTATTTTATGTTTTTTTCTTTCTAATTTTCTTTTTTCTTTTTTTCCCTTTTATGTTTGCGTCTTGTACATTTGATGTTCTATTTTTATCTTATCTTATCTTTTTCTCTTTGATTTATTTTTTTATTTGTTTTCTTTGTTTCTTTTCTAATTATGTTTTTCTTTGATTCATGTTTTTTATTTTTAATCTTTCTTTATTTTTTCTTTTTATTTTTTCATTTTCATTCATCATTCATTTTTTATTTTATGTTTTATGAATTTATTATTATTTTCATTTTTTATATTTTTTACCTTTCTTTTATTTCTTTTCTTTTCTTATTACTTTTTATAATGTTCTATGTTATTTTTGTGATGTTCATGGTATACATGTGATGTTTTATGTTTTTTTATGTTTACTTGTTATACATGTGATGTTCTATGATATTTTTTTATGTTTACGTGGTATGCATATAATATTTTATGCTGTATTTTGTGATGTTCACGTAATATACATGTGATGTTCTCGTAGTATAAAGGTAATGTTCTATGATATTTTTTGATGTTCACACAATATATGTGTGGCGTTCGATGATGTATTTAGTGATGTTCACATAATATATATGTGATGTTCTATAATGTGTTAAGTGATGTTCTATGGTGTATTTAGTGATGTTCACTTAGTATACATGTGATATTCTATAATCTATTTTTGAATGTTTTGAAAAGTATCCATGTGACGTTCTTTTAAATTTTTCTCTATTACGTATTTTTATTTTTTTCTTATGCTTTGCTCTAGTTTTTTTATTATTTATTTATGTTATGTATTTATTTATTTAATATTACGTATATTATAGTATCGATGTCATGAACCTAAAACTAGAATATTGTTCTTCTAAAACGAGAACATTTTTCTTTACGAAGACGGAACATTTGTTCTGTGAACCTAGAACATCGTATCTGCTCAATAAAATAAAATGTTCTATCTTTATAAGATAAATGTTCGTTAATAAAATTTTATCTAAATATATCCATATGAGATCTTCTTTTAAAGGATTTATTACAAGAAATTCGTTGATGCAATCGAAATTTAATTTGGACCTTTGGTTTATCCGTTATTACTTTTTTAGTTGGTTAAAAGTCATTTGCATGCGTGGTGACGTGGGTGAGGTGGGTGTGGGCCAGCGTGGGCTAGCATGGCAGCATCCGCTGGCGCGCAGTATACAACTGATGTTCTATGTTGTATGTTGTTTGTTGTATTTAGTGATGTTCTATGCGTGCTGATTTTTTTAGTATATATGTGATGTTCTATGGTGCTTTTTTTATGTTCACGTAATATACATATGATGTTCTATGTTGTATTTAGTGATGTTCACGTAATATATCTACGATGTTCTATAATGTATTCAGTGATGTTCTATGGTGTATTTAGTTATTTCACTTAGTACACATGTGGTGTTCTATGATGTATTTAGTGATATTCACGTAATATACAGTATATATATGATGTTCTATGATGTATTTAGTGATGTTCACGTAATATATATACGATGTTCTATAATGTATTCAGTGATGTTCTATGGTGTATTTAGTGATGTTCACTTAGTACATATGTGGTGTTCTATGATGTATTTAGTGATGTTCACATAACATATATTGTTCTATAATGTATTCAGTGATGTTATATAGTGTATTTAGTGATGTTCACTTAGCACACATGTGATGTTCTATAATATATTTTATGATTTTTTAAAAAGTACCCATGTGATATTCTTTTATTTTTTTCTATTATGTGTTTTTATTTTTTCCTCATGCTTTATGTCGGGAACCAATACTAGGGTACCCGAAGAGAAGGAGCTAATGTTCATCGACATTGATTCACCCAAGCAGTCAAGTGCGCGACTATAGCTCGAACTGACCCCTAGGCGCGCGGGCTCCGCCTCCCCCGACCGCTGGGGCACGAGCTCCAGCTTGCCCTACCGCTGGGACACGAGCTCCGCCTCGGGTGACCTTTGGGTCGGGGGCCCCGCCTCACCCGACCACTGGGGTCTGGTTCCGCCTCGCCTGACCTCTGGGTCAGGGGCTCCGTCTCGCTCGGCCTCTGGGTCGGGGGCTCCGCCTCACCCGATCTCTGGGTCAGGAGCTCCGCCTCGCCCGACCCCTCAGGCGCGGCTCTCGACGGAAGCTCATACCGCCGCCAACCACTACGGGCCAGAAAGTACGACCCAAAGGTCAAACTTCTGACACCGTGCAGGGAGCGTGCACATCTCATCATGACTCGTGCCCGCGATATGTCACTTTCAGGGAACTCACGACACCAACAGTGATGGACGCATGGTCACTATGCTACCTACTCTATGTACGGTCGCTGACCAGAACGTTGGTCCGCCTCGTCGTCCTCCGGGACGGGATGGGACGCCACGACCCGCTAACAACGCCAGGGCGTGGCATCAGCGGCGGTCAGGCACCCGGCGCGGAGCCATCCTTGTTACCTTCTGCAGTACCGGCGGGACTCGCATGAAGGAAAAGAAAGACCCAGCGGCCCGAGAGACTTTCGTCCCCTTGACTTTTACCCCTCTGCCTCTCTCTCTTCTTCTCTGTAATATGCTCATCCCCTTCGACTATAAAAAGGAAGCAAGATGCCCCATGAGGGGAGCGCCGAAGACGACTCTGCACGGCAATAGACACGACACATCCTATCAACACACACATACCAGAGACTTTGGATCCCGTTCCTCTCTCGCCCGTTTGTAACCTCTACTACAAATTCTCAGTGCCGGTAACACGAGTAGCACCGAACTGGACGTAGGGATATTCAGCCCGAACTAGTATAAATCCTTGTGTCTTCCGAGTACACCATCCGAGCCAGATGCGCAATCTAGAAATTTACTAATCGGTAACTCGAAACACCGACACTTTGCTCTTGATTTTATTATTTTTTATTTATGTTATGTATGTATTTATTTTTATGTATATTATAGTACTAATTTAATGAACTTAAAACTAGAATACGGTTCTTCTAAAAAGAGAACATTTTTCTTACGAAGATGGAACATTGTTCTTTGAATCTAGAACATCGTCTCTGCTCAATAAAGAAAAGTGTTCTATCTTTACGAAATTAATGTTCGTTAATGAATTTTATCTAAGGCTGTGTTTAGTTGGAGGAAAAGTTGGAATTTGGGTACTGTAGCACTTTCGTTTTTATTTGGCAAATAGTGTTCAATCATGGACTAATTAGGTTCAAAACGTTCGTCTCGCGATTTCCAACCAAACTGTGTAATTAGTTTTTTTTCGTCTATATTTACTGCTCTATATACGTATCATAAGATTCGATGTGGCGAGTACTGTAGCACTTTTTTTAAACTGAACACACGCTAAATATGTCTATGTGAGATCTTGAAGCATTTATTATATGGAACGGTGCAATCGTACTTTAATTTGATACTCGGTTGAGTAGCTACGACTTTTGTAGTGTGTACCGCACGCAAATAAATGAAATGGATAAAATAATCTATCCGTACTCTACTCGGTCCCTCTTCCTGCGCGCCTGCTTCCCGCACGCCAGCGTGGGTTTGGCGGGAATATTCGGAGGGATAGCGGCCGGACGGCTGCTACTATTCTATTGATCGGACTCTAGCACACCACCACGTGTGGATGCCCAGCCGGTTCTACTTGGCCCTGTTTAGGGCTTGTTTAGTTTTGAGAATTTTTGGTTTTTGGCTACTGTAGCACTTTCGTTTGTATTTGGCAAAAATTATCTAATTATGGATTATTTAGGTTTAAAAGATTCGTCTCACGATTTTTCGGATAACTGTGTAATTAATTTTTTTTCGTCTACATTTAGTACTCCATGCATGTGCCGCAAGATTCGATGTGACGGTTACGGCGCAAAAAATTTTGGATTCTGGGGGAAACTAAACGGGGCCTTAGTTTCCTCCTAAAATGCCAAATTTTTCAAAATTCCTCGTCACATCGAATCTTTGGATGCATGCATGAAGCATTAAATATAAATAAAAAATAAAACTAATTACACAGTTTAGATAAAATCCATGAGACGAATCTTTTAAGTCTAATTAGATTATGATTGGACACTAATTACCAAATAACAATGAAAACGCTACCATGTCATTTTGCTAAAAATTTCGGCAAACAAACTGGCCCTCGGAGCGCGTCGAGGCCGAGGAGCACCGTGCAGCGGCAGAGCGGCCTCGTCTCGTGAGACGCCTGTAGATTTTTAGTGCTGTGTGTTTTGTCTTTTAGAGACGATCAGAACTGAGAAACGCGTACCACAAATGGACGTGAATGTGAGTGATGGAGGCAAAGGACTATGCGGTTGTGTTTCAAAGTTTCAACTGTGTATCTGTATACTACATCACCACATGATGCGGGCGTAAATTCGTGAACTTGGTTGTTTGCTCCTCGGTATGGAGGTAAACCTCCTCTTCTTCTTAATGAAACAACTGCTCAGGAATGGTGGCAAAAAATACAGGTGTAAACACATTCTTATCCAGCGAGAAATCAGACAAGGCGATGGGAAGAATACGAGACTAAATGGGCTGCATTCTTATCCAGCCCAGATAGCCCAAACATTATCGGCCCATTGGGAGTTCAAGCCACCAAACTACGGGACGGTCCTAGTGCAGAAGTGAGCCCCACTCTGCAGTGACGGAAGAGCGAGGGCAAAGAGGAACTTGCGTTGAGTGAGGTGGGACTAAACCCTAGTGCGCGCACCACTCATCCGTCTCCCTTCTGAAGTTTCGGCGACGGTGTAGCGGCCGCGGCGGTGTGCTCGTGATCTCAGCCCCAGGCGCGCTCGGCTCCGGTCACCCGTCGATCCACGCAACCATGGTAAGCGAGCCTCTTCTCGTCTGGTTAAGTACGCGGATCTAGGTGCAATCGCTGTAGCGGTGGGGGTTCCTGAGAGCGTAGATTTGCGAGGAAATGTTTTTGATTGGAGCTTGTGCTCTGTGGGCTGCTACATCGCAATCGTGATTCGTCTTTCGCTGAATTAGTTGACTGTAATTCGTACTCCTGAGTTGAAGACTGAAGTGATGTGCTGGGGTAATTCTGTTGCGAATCTAATCGCGATATCAGTCTTCTAGGTGAAGATGTTTAGCTGTCATATGCAATATTTGAGATGTGCTTTTAAAACTGTGGAAGTATTGATACGGCTAGAAAGTAGAAACTACTACTTACAAAAAAGAGTCGGAGATGCTGATTACCTACTGCTTACGAGCTAAGAGTTAGATATGCTGATTACCTGGGGATTTGCTTGGGTTGGAAGTATTTACGAAGCTGGAAAGTCATGTTTTGCAAGGTTTATTGTTTCCCAATATACATCGTGATGCTAATCTAGTTTTAATCCTTGAAATGATTGACTTGATTAGTATACTGAGATTGATTTGCTGTTGAATGGCTTCTATCCGTTTTTTCGCTCAACACAATTTCGTAGTATAAATCCACAGACAGGCTATTTATTCATACTGCATTGTGCTCAATTAGTATGGCCTTTTGGTCCTCTTAGGCTCTTAAAATTAGAACATGAGGTGAACTCAGGTTCACTCGTTGTGCATGGTGAAATTGTTTGTGGAGACTGTCAACATGACAATAAGTTCAATCTAATCTGATAGTCATATATGTTTGCAGTCGAGGAGGAAGACCAGGGAGCCCAAGGAGGAGAACGTTACCCTTGGACCCACTGTCCGTGAAGGAGAGTTTGTCTTTGGTGTTGCTCACATCTTTGCATCCTTCAATGACACCTTCATTGTAAGTGCTGGATGTTTTTTTTTTCTGTGGATGGACCTTTTTATTCCCTTCCCCAGTTTAAATGTGATGTTGTAATATGCAGCATGTAACTGATTTGTCTGGGAGGGAAACTCTGGTTAGGATCACTGGTACCATCCTAAAACCTTGCTCCATACTTGACGTAGATGGCATCATGGCAATTGTATTTAGTTTTAACCATGGTGTTCTAAACTATGTAGGTGGCATGAAGGTCAAGGCTGATCGTGATGAGTCGTCGCCTTATGCTGCTATGCTTGCTGCTCAAGATGTTGCACAGCGTTGCAAGGTATTTGTAGTGAAGTCAAGAATTTCATTAGAGAGATTCTACTGCATTCACTCATTGGTTCATCTGTGTATCCAAAGATGATGTTTGCTTAATTAAACTGAAGCTTAGGATTATGTAGGGCTGCTTAGATTGCTGTGGCCAGATAAGTAATTTGTGAGTTGGTCTCTTGTCTTCAGGAGCTTGGTATCACTGCGCTGCACATTAAGCTTCGTGCCACTGGAGGCAACAAGACCAAGACCCCTGGACCTGGTGCTCAGTCTGCTCTCAGGGCTCTTGCTCGTTCTGGGATGAAAATTGGACGCATTGGTAAGAAATCTGAATCTTGCAAGGGCAATCTGTACCGGTTTGCCCCATTTCAATGAAGTTGCGTCAGTTATCATAATCGATTACTTCATTGTTTCTGTATGTTAATGGCAACATTCGTGTTATGTGCAGAGGATGTTACCCCGGTCCCCACTGACAGCACTCGCAGAAAGGGTGGTAGGAGGGGAAGGAGGCTGTAGGCGTGTTCTCCTTGCTTTCTGCCATCTCTTGGCACTGGCCTCTGGGTAGTGTTGCTGTTTCTATGCTTGTCAAGAGGAGCTTTAATTTTGCTCTATGTCGAGGATCATTTACTGTTATTCGAATCTATGGTGTGCATGGATAATGTTTTGGTTGAGGAATTGACATTATGCTAAAAATGCATTTTCACTCTACTATAGGACCGGGCATTGGATTAATGTGCTGTTTTGATGAGTTGCAGCTGATTTTTGCTGTATGGATGAATGCTGATCAGAACTTGCTTTCTGATTACGAGTTTCAGCGTGTCAGGTTATGATAGTGTGTTAATTGTGTCGAGAATTAGTTTCTAAAGATGTGGATGTTTGCCTGCCTGCTATTTGCCACAGGCAGAGAGGCAGATACTAGTGCAACGTAGACCGTAGTACAATCAGAAGCAATGGTGCATGTATTTATTATTCCCCAAATAGACGTAGCAGATCGTCTCAGCCTCAGGAAGCAAGCATGTTGTAACAGCCGTCGCGTTGGTGGAAGCAGACGATGGCACGCTGGCGCCCCGCCGCCTGGTGTTGCTGGCGTCGACTGGTCTGGGCAGCACAGGAGCAGCGCCAGAGGGTGGCACGTGTGAATTATGAGCAGATAGCATGTTTGTTCGCAGTCTCCTGGGCGTTTGGTTTTTGAGGATTGATGTGGTCCATTAGACTTTGATGAATGAATCCATTGCATTCCACAAATCGACGAGTGATAACCACTCAGTTTCTCAAACCAAGCTCCTTTCCCAAAGTCTTAGCTGCTGTGAGTCGGTGATGACGGGCCCAATGTAGGGTCATTTCCTGCATACAAGAAGCTACAAAACTAGTGCCACATTCAACCGCGCTGCATAAAAACAGCTACAGAACTATCTGCGCTGCATAAAACTGACGGAGGAAATTACACATTTTCGACATTATTTGCTCAACATTGCGAAACACACATTACCCTTCTTCCTAGTACTATGTTCTCTTCTCAGGGAAAGGGAGAACGACAAACACCATGAGGAGAGTAGTTAAAATTCTCTCACACCACAAGTCCACAAGCAAAGCCATGACGACTGACTCACGCAGCAACACCAAACTCCAGCAGCCGGAGTCCGGCGATCGGAGGAGAGGACAGAGGAGACAACAACTTTATCTTCACGTGGGTTTGAGGTCCTGAAACATGGAGTCCCACTTGATGTCGTCGTCGTTGCCGGCGCCGCCGTCCTCGTCCTCGTCCTCGTCCTCGTCCTCTTCCCCCTCCTCGTGCTCCTCGTCGTCGTCGTGGTAGCAGTCATGGAACATCAGGCTCGCCTTCTGAGACGACGCCGACAGCCTCGCGCCGCCGCCGCCGCCGCCCGCTCCGGCGACGACGCCGTCGGTGATCATGAGCACCATCTTCTTGGTGGCGCTGCCGCCACCGGTGCTCTTCCGCTGCACGGCGCCGACGCGGACGGCGTCGTCGCCGCTGCAGATCCTCGGGACGACGGTGACCGACGACGCGCCGCCCCTCCTCCTCCCGCCGCCTCCTCCTCCGGCCAGCCGGCGCACGCACCGGGACAGGCACCTGGTGGCCCTGCACGCGAGCCGCGAGGCCGCCGACGAGGCGCCCGCCCCCGCAGCCTCCGCGCCGTCCCCGGCCTGCTTCTTGGCCAGCTTGAGGATCTCGAGGCGGTGCTTGGCGACGGCGATGCCCATGCTCTTGAGCAGGTCGTGGTCGAAGTGCGCCGCGTCCCCGGGCTCCAGCTCGTTCCGGCTGAAGAGGCGCCCGTACTCGTACGTCAGTGACGGCGCCAGCCCCGTCCGCGACAGCCACGCGTACCAGTCCATGGCGTGGCGCGGTGGCCGGCGCCGGCCGGCCTGCCCTCCCTCAGCTTCCTTTTCCACCACCACCACTTGCTTCCCGCGGCTGCGTGAGTGTGCACAGGACAGAACCCAGCGCCCTCACGAGGCCCCTCACTGCTCGCCTCAACAACTCGCGCTAGTAGGATTTATAGGGAGGCATGCGCAGGGAGGGAGACTGACACTGATCGAGCTGGTAGAAGGAAGCTCGCAGCTGCAGAGCACGGCCCAGGTCACATGCATGCCTGCGCCACCTCACGCGGATTCCAGGCTGCAGCGAGCCAGCGACCAGTGAGCGAGTAAATTCGTGGACGCATTGCTATGACGGAACACCAACGCGTAGATGGTGCGTGCAGGCAAATCTTGCGGCCGGCGTATGTACATAAGCTTGGATTCTGTGCACGGGTACAGGATCCAACACCGTTAATGTACGGTACAGCGTGTGTATTGGTTTCTCCTCTTAAACTTAAGTAGTTGTCCTATCGGATGTTTGATGTATGCATGAAGTATTAAATATAGATTAATTACGAAACTAATTGTACATCTTGCGACTAATTTGCGAGACGAATCTTTTAAACCTAATTAGTCCATGATTTGACAATGTAGTACTACAGTAAATATATGTTAATGATGGGTTAATTAGGCTTAATAAATTCGTCTCGTAGAGTACTGACGGATTCTGTAATTTATTTTTTTATTACTATCCGAACACTCCATGCGACACCCTCACATAACATATCCTAAATTTTAGCCACCGGATCCGAACACCACCTTAAACACCCACGATCTTTCAAAAAAAAAAAACATAAACCCACAAATGAAGCTGAAAAGCTGCCAGTAGGCTGATCGATCTGACGCAGGTCGCGGTCCATCTCCATCCTGCCACCACCTTGCGGTGGGCATGCATGGCCGCTCGATCGATTGGTCACATGCCCCTGCAGAGTGGAGCTGCAGCTAATGGATGGCTTCCCTTTCAAGCGTGAATAAACTATTCCCTCGGTCCTAAATTATAAATCATTCTACAAGTTTGACCAAATTTATATGATGATAAAATAATAATATTTATGGTAACAACTAAGTATCATTATATTCTTCATTAATTATATTTTCATACTATACATATTTGATGTTATAAATCTTTTAAATTTTTTCTCTATAATTTTAGTCAAACTTGAGATGTTTTGACTCTATAAGGTTCTTGGAATGACTTATAATTTGGAATGGAGGAAGTACCACTATGTGTGAAGTGAAGGTTGTTAAGTGCCTTGCTGGGCAATTTGTGGTGGCATACATACTCTGCCGCATCGTGTCGGGCTTCATGATAATTATGATTCAGGTCGTCATGGTACTTTTCTATGCGAAAGACGCATGTAATCTCTATCCACTTGAGATTTCTTTTGGCTTTGGGTTGGGGCCAATGCAATGCATGCAAAAAGATCACTTGAGATGTTTGAGGGAGACACGTATAACGATGATGGCTGCTGTGTTTGTGTTGGTTGCGAGGAAGGACCACGGACACGTAAAGTGGGAAAGGACGCGAGCAAAGCGGGCGACGTGGGTGGGCAGCGGAGAAATGTGACCCGGGGCCTACGTGTCTGTTACAGTGTGTGTTACTGTTTCGTTTTATTACAATCCGACGGTAGAAAAATAGAAAAATTAGGAGAGGCCGTAGAGGATATGTGTGTGAAAGGTGTCACGCAGGATGCATTTGCTGGTAGTACAGTACAGCACAGCTTGATGAGTATGGACAACGTAGGGGAGGAAAAGCTGTGACGAGTCTTTGGAGCCACTTTTATAGTTCCATGTGTGGACCTTTACTTCTTGTCTGGTCATGGAGCCAGCTATATATGAGGAAGTCACGAGATACGTAAAAAGATTAGGCATGGGAAAAAGTGAATTCGGCAGTAAATTAGTAGATACTCCGAAGCGTTAGATAGGAATCACAGGAACATGGGTTGTTGGATGACTGGAGCTGCATGCATGCCTCAAACAAATGCCACGGCTATGATGAGTAGCTAGTTTGTTTAGTTCATCGTCCTGTCTAAAGCATCTCCACCTTTCGAGTTTGTTTAGCCATGCCTAGTTTCGCGCCAAAAAGGGAGAAGGCTCATTCATAAATTTAACTCCCTCTGTCCACATGTCCAGATTCAAAGGTAGGATTGCGTTTTATTTGGACGGAGGGAGAAGGAGTTGACTACCAACACATGTATGGCCGCATAGAGTAAATAAAAACTTTTAAAAGGCATGTACCACTGGTAGAGAACCGAGCTTTACTCCCGGTGGGGAACCCCCTCTAGTCCCGGTTCCCCACCCGGGAGCAAGCATCTGGGACTAAAGGGGGGTCCTTTAGTCCCGGGTCAGGAACCGGGACTAAGGAGGATTTTAGTCCTGGAAATAACACCAACGGGACTAAAGGTGCCTCCCGACATGCCCACGATAAGTTTAAGACCTTTAGTCCCAGGTTAGTAATCTGAACAAGGACTAAAGGTTTTTTTTTTTTTTTCTTTTCTTTTCATTTTTGTTTTCTTTTCAAAATAGGTTTTCAAGTCGTATTGTATGCCTGCTAATTATACATTTATACGTGCATATAGTATGTTTTGGTTCAAGCACAATGAACGTATTAAATCACACAATTCAAGCATAAAATATATATATATATATATATATATATATATATATGAATGCATGCATCATATATATATTTACATGCATGCATGCATATGTGTATTTTACATTATATTATTTCATGTGCATATATTACAAAAGATTGCATTACAGTTGTTGTGACATAACAAGTTTCCTCTCATCCTCTAGCTTGGCTTCAATGGCGGTGTTGGGTCAAGTAGAACTCGCCCTTGGAATCGATGACTGCTCATTAAAAAATCCGCTATAGACTCTTGAATTGCTTTGATTTGGTCTTGCAGTATGACCTTTTCCTTCAACCATCGAGTCTGAGTTTGAATTAAAGGAAAATAAATTAATATATGTACATATATATATATATATAAAGACATAGTAACACAATCAATAATAATAATTAAATGAATATATAGTGTATTTTTAACGTACTTTGAGTCTCTCTGTAGGAGTTCTTTGGGAGAGCACCTTGATAAACTTGCAAACATAGTAACCACGATGAGTTGTTCCCTATTCCCGCTTTTAGACACCACTTTACGAGAAAAAGATTTGTCATCCAAACGGTGATCCGGTGAAAGCTATATGTTTAATTAATAAAGATGATGCGATTGTGGGACTTACTTTCAAAGGGATTACATCAAAGTGGCGCTTTGCATTTTTCCATGTGTTGCTTCTCAATAAAGGTTTTCCAAACACCGCCTAATAAAAAATTTGCCACGTCATCGATATAGTTAATCATCATGTTTGTGTGTATATATAGTTGCTAGAGATCCCGAAATTACCTCCGGATAATATCTATCATATCTTGGTAGTCTTGTTGTGGTTTTCTCATCGAGTCATAGATTATCAAGTGACTTTTCACCGGATCGATGTCCATCAATATCCAATTGATTGTTGCATGTGTTTATAGGATATAACGCATAACACTCATTAATTAACTAGAATCAACATATGAGCCATTAAGGATATGATCGACATGATTAACACTCACTTGAAGTTATAGGAAAGAGTATATCCTTCTTGTGGCGTTGGTTCACTAAGAAGTTCATGAGGTTACTCTCGACTCGAGACTTCCAATTAGTCTTTGGAGTAATTGGGTCTTGAATACTATATGGGGATCAACAAAACCAATTTCATTGCGACCTTCCTTTCTCGAGCTCTGTCATTGTAAATCTGCATATATATAGTACTTGTTAGGATAATTTATATGCATATACACACATATGATGAGTTTAATAATAGATCGAAAGAATTATTACTTACAGGCAATAGCGACTAATGATAACTTTGTCCGGAGAGGTCGGTGGCATAGTTGATGAAATTTCGCAAAGTCAACATACATAACATCATCGCCACGCAGAACCAATGTTCGTCTCTAATTCGACACCAACGTTAGAAGTCTCCTTTGACGCGCTTTGCATGTACCACTGTTTAGCGGTGTACATTTGCGTCCCCGTGATCGAGATAAGGCTTGAGGGTTGTATAGACTCGGCCTAGTACAAATTTTTTCTTCCAAATATCAACCTCCGTCAGACTCTCAATGTTTCCATCACCAAACATCTCCGGTAAAGGTCGAGACCGGTCTCATCAAGAAATTCACCAAGGTGATCCAAATCGACATCCCGGAGGTATGTTTGCTCGATGCATTAATCCTAAATTCGAACCATATTCATTACCAACAACTAGCGGGGATTGATTGTGCGCTTGTTGTCCGAGTTGGGCAATGCCTTTCCCCGCCCGCTTCTTTTTTTTCTGTCGCCTCAATTGACTTGGTGAGAGTGTGGTCATAGTCCGATAACGTTGATTTGGATGGCTTACGAGATTCCATTGTTGTTCTTTGGTAAGAAGTCATCTTTTTTCTTAGAATATCCGGAGCTACTGAAGAAATACGGTTTCTCTGGGTTTCTCCTTGCTTCTTGATTCATTTTAAGTTTGTCATAGAATCTAGACATGTCTTTTTTATATGCATCAGTTCCTTCTTCCTTCTCTTGAGATATTATTTTGGGAATAGCCCTTAGTTTCACGGTGGCTTTCTTTGCAAACGGGACCCGGTTCTTCGTTTGAGGGGTTGGCCTCTTGCTAGTCTTCTTGGTAGGCGGGGCGGGGAGGCATTGGAGACCTCCTTGGAGGTGTTGGCGGCAGCTGTTGGAGACCTCCTTGGAGGTGGCGGGGCATGGCGTTGGAGACCTCCTTGGAGATGGTGTAGATGCAGCCTCGTCTTCCAACATAATGTCATCGACTGAGCACTATGATGATCTGGCGATTGAACAATTGGATTTAGGTTGGGGAGGATCTGCTACAAAAAAAAAGAAATGACATATTATTATGAAGTGATTGTTAATTATTTAAGC